TCCTATTCTATGCTACTTTATTATTGGATTGACAGTTTTCGTTTGCTGAACATTACGATTGAAAATCATCCATCAAGGGTGTTCAGGTAAAGCAGGATAGAATCAAGTATGTCGAAGTGTCCAGACACTTATTGTAATTATTTTATTTTTTTCCACATCAATGTGAGCGAAATTTTAAAGCTTAGTTGGTTTTAAAGATCATTTTTAAACAGCGTATCAGCTGAATATGGATAAAATGTCGAAATAGTTCAAGATTATTGTGCTACATAAGCAAATCTGTATTCTATGCAGCAACTATATGAGAGTTTTAAGTACTATTGGTATCGATCTTCTTTTTTTTTGGAGAGTTTTGACGATTTTCTGCTTATTAGAATACAACTTATCAAAAAGAAAACAAAAGCTTTGCGTTTGGCTATATTTCTATTTGTTTTTTATGAAATGGATGTTTTGTCTTGTTTTATGGGATCACATCCAAAGGTTTGGAACCCAAGAGGTCCTACTGAACGCCTAAGAAGAAGCAGGAGGTGGATCGAAGCGGACGACTCTGGACAGAGAAGGAAGTTAAAAAATACCGTTGTACCTTGACTTCATCTATGGATTAATCTCTTCTCAACAATAAGTGCTACATAATAGAAGAATGAAATAAGTGTTTCAAAGTCCGATACAGAGTTCAAAAATCAGGCAAAGTATTGATATTTATATAGTATTGAATTTCTTCTTATCCATTTGTTATCTCTCTGCATGTTTGTATGACTGAAACAGAAATTTTGCCATACATATCATATAATAAATTACGAAGCGTATAAAAGAAGATTATTTTGAATATTATCTTTTACTCTGTTTTACAAGTATATTATTCAAAAAAAAGGAAAAAGAAAAAATGAAAAGCGAAAGATACATATTCAATATTCATACGCACACACACACACATAAACACAAACTACAAATGTTCTAAATGTCGATCTTTAGATTTTCTTCGATATTTTTTTGAAACAGCTGATTGTTGATTATTAGTACCAACAACGCTATCACGTGCTGTTAATGCACTTGGTGTACGTCTACTTTTTGGCATAGCTAATTGTTGTTGTTGAAAGACATCAGATAATTTAACTCGTGGATTTTTATGTGAATGCTGTTGTTGTTGTTGTGTTAATGCTTGATAACGTGATTTAAAAACATGATCAAGTGATTTATTATATAAATGACGTTTATTAGATATTTGACGTCGTTTTATTGCATCATAACTCGTTCCATATGTTTTCACTGAACCTGATATATATCCAGCCCTAAAAATAAATTTCATTACATATAAACAAAAACATATGTATACGTTTGTTTTATATTCTTACATTTGACTTATTTCACTATGATCAGTTGTATCTAAATTTCTTTGCATATCATTGACTTTAGCTATATCACTCCATTGTTGTGATGTACAAGCTGAATTTTTCATATATCTTGGTCCATTTGCACGGTAAACAAGTCCTGTTGTTGATAAATCAGGTTCAGTTGCTTGTTTATCATCATCATTAATATCATAATCAGGTTCAGGTAAACCTTCTTCATCAAAACCTTTTAATTGTTGTAAAACTTTAACTTGTTCAACAGCATCTTCAACATTATCTGTTGTAAAATCTCCACGTCGATGACCAAGACCACTTTTTCCACTACCTCGTGGACCAACTTTTAAATCAGTTGATGCTAATAAATGTAATAATGTTCCATAACGATGCCATAACATAGAAACAAATTGTACGAGTAAAATGCTTGCAAAAAAAACTAAAAATCCAAAACCAAGCGGTTCAAAACGTAATGGTTCATTATGTAAACGTTTTATTGGTATAAATACATAATCACGTATACGTTCCGAAACAAGTTGAAATGAAAATATAATAACAAGCCATAATGTATTAATCATAAAAAATATAAAACAACCATTATTACGTAATGATTTTAGATCACGAACCATTTTCTTTTGATGATCTTTATCTTCAACTAATGGATATAAATAACGGTCAATTAATTCTCTAAAAAATTTTATTTCACGTGGATCAAGCATTACAACTTCAGAATCACGTAATGATTCTTGAAATATCCATGCAGGATTAACTAAAGAACAGCAAAAAAAAAGAAGATACTCAATATTTTGTTTGCATAAGCAAAAGTTTTCTCTATATGAAAACATAGTCATAGAGTTGATACTAACTATTTTTTATGAGCCTATCTTTTTTAAAATATGATCTAAAAGAAGTGTTGTAGAATAGGGATATTAACGTTGGATTCTCCAACAGTTCTACTCATATTTAACAAAGCATGAAACATGAGTCCTATCCAATCAGAGAGTTTGTATTAATAAAATAGGTTTAGGGAAGTTTCCCAAGTGATTAAACATTTTGGAGTCAAGATTATACGAAATGTGTCGATTCTACTGAGCTATGAATATCCTGAGAACAAGTTCTGGTTCTTAGTTTACTGCTATCTAGGTCTTAGTGAGAGTTTTAGATCTTTACATTGTTCCTAATCTAAGATACGGCTATGGTAAAAGCACATCTTTTAAGTCATTCGTATACACTACAGATTCAATATTCTTGTTTCAGGATAGAAACCATGAAAAGGTTTGATGCTTTTACATTAAATTATTGTCATAAAAACCTGTCTCGCTAGCAAACATTCAAAGATGTTTATTCATATTTGAGTTCACCATTAGTGTATCCTATGGACCTTAGTAAACTATGTCAATCACGAAAACAGTTGGTAGTCGTGCCTGTTTTCTGAGAAGATGCAGCCCTTCTAGTGAATTTAGGACGTAGAATTCAATGTTTGCAGCAAGACCATACTTCCGAATTTCAATCTGAAATTAGATAAATAAGTCAATTAGAATAATTTACGTAAAAAATTTCAGAATTTTTGAACTAAATCTCTCCGAGATACGAATCTTATAAAGTATAGACTCTTTTCCATAGATACTATATACAGCATGATTTTTTTGAAAGCTTCATAATATATAGAGACTTTGTTAAAAATTTATGATATTTTTTATATAAATTCATCTAATTGATCTCTCTATTTAGGTTCAGCTAGAAACTTGAACATCGTTGTTTCTAGTATCTATGACAAGAAAACAAAGAACTCAATAAAAAAAAGAATCCTAAAAATGCAGTATCGTGGCAGCATAAACGTGATTAATCAATTTATGGCCTTCTTTCGTACGAACTTCTAACTCGATCGTCACTCTATGTTAATAATATGTATATCATCATATCTTTAATTATAAGACGTGAATATTGTGCAAAATACTGTCTTCCACTTCATATTTATATTATCTATTGCTGATTAAAAGTTTTATAAAAGAATTAGCACCTCTCTGAAAATACATTTAGTTAAATCAATCATGAAAATCCTTACCTAGTTCATCACGTTTAATTACTTGTGGAGATTCAAATGGTCTTGAAACACCAGCATAAGACATAATTTGTCCATATGGTGTACTTCGTGGATTGTTTAATCCACGATAAATTAATTGTTGTTGATGATCCATTTGTGGATAACTAGCACGATTAACAGGTCCACCTGTTGTTTGTGGTGAAGCAGCACGAGCTGCTAATTGCATTAAACTATATTTAGCATCAATTTCAGATCCAGTTTGTGTCTTAGCTACTGGTGGGTATAGACCCGTTGATGCTACAGCTTCCATTTCTTCATCAAATTTATTCTAAACAAAAAATGTTTTATTTTTTTCTTAAAAAAAGTGAAAAATATTAATATTACTTTTTCCATTCGTTCAACAGCACCTAAAATTTGTTTTAATAAAATACCATTGAGTCCTGATTGTTCAAGACCAAGCCATTTACGTGCATACAAACGTATTCGTTGATCATATTTTTTAAAATTAAAATTTGCAAATACCTTTTATAAAATAATAATACAAAGAAACTTTTCTGTTTTTCTTTTCTTCAAGCATCATTTATTAATTCTTACTTGATTAAAAAATCCTGCAGATTTTTGTTTAACTTGTGTTAATTCTTGCATACGTGCACGTTCAATTTCTTCTTTTGTTTGATTTTTTTTAACTTTTTTTGGTGCTTCTCTTGTTCCCCATGATACAATATTAAGATTACAAAGAGAATAAATTAATAAAAATAAATATCCACTTGGTATACATAAAAAATATAATAAACCTGGTACAATACACCAAAATTCTTGTGGATGCATACAAGCAGCAATAAAGAATATAGAAAATAATAACATTAAAAAAACGGCATTTGGTGATGTCCAAGAATCTTCTGCTACTTGAATTGTTGTACCAACAATAACTGCCATCATTATAATAGCATAAACAGCTGAAAAAAATGCTGCAGCACGAATTTGAAAATCTGTTGTTGTATGAAAACATAATAGCAAATAAAAGAAAGCAGGCAAAACAGACATATACATCGATTGCCAAAGACTTGTACCTTTAAAAATGGAGAGAAATTATTACGTGATATTCCATGTATTAATACGATTGCTTAAATCTTACATCAAGACTTAAAGAATAAAGCGTTTTTTTAAGTTGAATTGAAACGAAATTGGAGTTCTATACATATATCAGTTTTCGCATCCTGAATAATGCTCTCAAAAAAGTCAAATATGAATCAGATCAGCGTAGTACCTATAGTACTAATCATGTAGAACTGAGATGTGCTTTGTTGCCTCATTATATTTATAGGAAATAGGTAGTAGGAAAGTACCCTACAATCTCAGATGAAGTTCATACAATATAATCTCAATGATAATAATTATTATGTCTTTTGTTCTGAACGACTCTAGGCCTACTCTACCTTTGGTTGGTTACACCACTATATCTGATGTATATTGTCGTCGGTTGCTATGAAAACGCACTCAATGTTATATAAGATAGCTTCATGAGAAAATATCTATACTATAGGATTTCAGAAAAATTCTGTTTACATAATATTCACTTAATTTATCAAATACTTCTTACTCTCTCGGATTATCAATTAACGATCAGCATCGAATAAATTTATATTTAAATCTAAAAACATACCAAAACATGCATTGAATGCTCCAATAATCATTAAAAGTACTGTTGCTGGACCAAGAACAGTTGAAACCATTAAGAAAAGTTGATAAATTATATATAAATATGATATACTATCATTAACAATTACAATTCTTTTATATTCAGCAAGAAAATCAATAATATTTGCAATAGTTGATGGTACCCATCGACGACGTTGATTAAAAAATTCCTATTGTTGCAAAAAAAAGGAAAATTCAACTCTTTTCTAAACAAACTAATTCTAAAACTAACATGAAATGATTCTGGTGCATAAGTAAGTGCATCTGATGCAGCACAATATTCAACACGATAACCTTCTTGTAATAAAAGTGTACATAACCAACGATCCTCACCTATAAAAGAAAACCGAAAGAAAAGATAATAATCAAAAGATTTATTTCAAAAAAAAAAACCTTGATCATATTGTACATAATGTCGAGCTTCTACTGATTTCGTACAATATGTACGAAGAACATGATCATCCATTAATGCTGAACCTCGAAAAAGACTAAAACAACCAGGACTACACATCTTCAAAAGAAAAACAAGAAAAGATGAATTCTTTTTGTTTTATATGAAAAGAATAAATTATTTTCTTACCACACAACCTAAAATATGTTCAGCAGCTTTTTGAAGCCAATGACCAATAGCATATTCAAATTTTTGATACCAAACAACAGGACCTTAAAGTTTTATAATTAATAGAAAATGAAAAGTTGAAAAGCAAAAACAAAAAAACGTTTTTACCACTTCCAATTGGATGAATACGTCCACAAGCAGCTCCGACTTTTTTATTTTTTTTCATTCGATCTACAAGTAAACGTACAGCTTCAGGATGAAAATCAACATCACCATCAAGTGCTAATAAATATGTATTTTCCATCTAGATAAAAAAAAACAAGTATTTATATATTTAAATATTCTTTAATTTTCTTAGAAAATTCTTTACTTGTATACGTTTTTTATTATCCATATTATTAAGTAAATTTCCAAAACCTTTAAATAATTTAGATTTATTTTTAGAAGAATTCTTTTTTCGTTTTCGTTTATATAATTTTTCTATTATATTTAAATCACCAAATAGACGATAACCAAGTAAATAGTACATATACATAACCTGAAGTTTAATTTAGAGAATGAAGTAAAATAAAAAGAATTTTTTGAATTACTTGACTCCATCGTTTTTTATGTCGAATTTTAGTTTTATCTTTTATATGTGCAATAAGAAAATTTCCACCTGGTAATACCCATGTTAATCGACCACCATATGGTGTTGGAGTTTTATATGGTGGAGGAATTTTCATGGGACATTGATGGATAGCTCTAATAAATATTTTCAAAAAACGAAAATTAAAAATTAAACTAAAAAGAAAATTGTTGAGACATACGTAGCAGCACGATCAACAACTCCAAGTAGTTGTTGAACAAATTTATTTGGTACTTGTTCATTATTGTCATCTTCTTCCATAGCATCATCAAAAAATATATGTCCTTCATATTCATAATAATCAAGATCTTTAAGATGTAAATAGTTTCGAGCTGTTCGACGTGCACATTGATCACTGTCCAATCTAAAATATAAGATATAATGTAAGTTGAAAAATAAAAACTCTAGTAAAGACATTGTATTGAGATCAAAAGGCTAATGAAAAAAGTTTCTTCATTGATTAGTCGCTTTTGAATCGAGACTATGTGCTTCATGTTGACTCTAATGAGTTATAAATACATTGAAAAAAAATTTGAGCTCTGATATTATTGCTGTCGATATACTACATTTTTATGGTTGATTTTAGTTTATACTGTGGTCCCTGTCAGAAACACTAAGGAAATTCATTTTCAAATTTCGACTTGAAACTTTCTGTAGAGATTGGTCTCACTAAGAATAGTTTACCGTACAAAATTTCAAATATATTTTTTGTTCCTATTCTACGATGCAGCTATGATAAAAGCTTGTCTATTACCCTACGCTGGTAGATTTGATATTTTTATTTCAGAAAAAAGTAAATCAAAAACATTGAAAGCTTTCACAATAAACTATTCTACTTCAGATTTGTCTTTGTGCAATGTTTCAAGTTGAAATTCAAAAACGAAGTTTTCTAATATTTCTGTGGTCGGAAACATTATTAAATTAAAAGAAAACTGTTAACATACATTATCTTAGTAACTATAAGTTAAAAACATGAACTGTTGGCAGTGCATTCCTAGTTCACTAGAATCTATGCGCGAAAGATCGTTCAGATTCCATAACAATGCATCAGTTGGGAAACTTTCCTTACGATTGTTGAACGAAGAATATTTTGCAAGTACTTAAAACACTGCTAAGACATCTGTTCGAATTCTATCATCATTTGATAGTCCAAAGTCTCATAACGTACATCAGAGATACTTAAAGGCAACAGATAAGACTATCATATGACATTTATTTTTAATATTAGAAATTTATCTAAACATAAAACAAACCTCATAATTGATTTTAATAATTGTAACATTTCCGTTTCAGTTTCATGCCACATTGTTGCACATGAATAGATTTTAGTATGTACATCAGCACTTAATTTTTTTTCCATGGATAATTCTTCCATACTTTGTTCATCAAATTCTGATTCACCATTTGTTGTACTCATTTCATCATATATACCAGTTAATAATTCATCACGTTCATTTCGACGTCTATTCATCATTAATGATTGTTCAAGTAATGTTGCACAATACCGTGGTGAAACAAATAAACTATATAATAAAAAAAACAGCAACAATAAATATATTACAAAAGAATTTCACAAAAATTATTTATTTACCGTTCGGTAAATGCTAAACGTTGTCGTTTACCAAACCAAATATGTCCACCAATCCATAATTCTGACAGCCACCATAAAAATAAACCACAAATAACTTGCCATTTAAATGATTCTTTTGCATAATCAGCATAACAACTCCAAAAAAGAAAATTTTCAATAAAAACTGTTGATTGGGGTGCAACAGAACACATAACAAGTAATATTGTTAATGCTAATGGTGTAACTAATGTTATTGGTAAAGCAAAACATATACGTTGCATACAAAGTTTACATGCTAAACGACCCATATAAAAACATAATACATCTGACATAATTTTTAATATCATTGGAGTTAAATAAAAAATCCAACGATCTTTTGGATTTGTTGTTCCTTCACTTCCTGGATTATTAGTTCCTCCATCTAATCCTGCTATTCCTCCTCCTGCAGCTCCACCAGTAAGTGAATTCAAACCTTCTTCATCATAAACAAAATTATTTGGTAAATCATTATCAAATTGTCTTTTAATTCGTTTTATATATTCTGATGTATTAGCAATAGAACGACGTTCACGTGGTGGTAATATAGGAAACATTCCTTGTGAGGGTTGTTGATCAAAACCTAATGCTGCCCATGAATTTTGTCCTAGAGATAATTTTGGTAATGGATCTTCTAATTGTTCATTATTGTTACTACTTGGAAAAACTACTGATGTATTAAATATTCCATGATGAAAAATATATGCAAATAAAACAGTAACAAGAATTTTCCAACATGTTATTATTATTGATGTTTTTGGTCGTGTTGCAAGAATATTTTCTTTTAATAATTTCAAATGTACTAATGTACGACCACCAATTTTAATATCTCGATCAACAAAATTTTCCCACCTAGAGAAGAAACATTGATGTATAAAAATATGCGACAAATCAGTTTAAGAGCCTCAAGATAATTAGCCAAAAGCATTCTCATTCAAGAAGAAACTACAACAAGTGACAGTATCTATTGGAGTTCATGTTAAAGCCACCGACAAGTTCCAGGAAGAATAGCAAAAGCTAAAAAGTTTCATCCCCATTGGCCTTCAAAACTGAGCTATTACTTATTTGCTGAATTATTGACAGGGTGACCAGATCGAAAATTTAAAAATCAGAAAATTTTGTATTAAAATCGGAAAATGATCAGAAAACTGTTTCGGAAAATCAGAAACTTATCAGAAAGGCCGTTTTTCATCGAGCTAGTGACTTCCATGTTCAATTATTTACATTAAATGTTCCACTACTTTTATTTCATTGACCTGCACTTTATTTTCAAACGTTCTTCACTATAAAGAAAGACAATATAGTGAAAATAACATATAGCTGATGCGAGAAAAAACAACTAATAAAAGACACAATGTGTCGAATTTGTTCACGAGATGAAAAACACATACAGGAGAGAGTACAGCACACTCATATACATATATGTACTCTCTAAGTTAAGAAATTCAAGAAAAAAAAGATTATATAGCACATAGTCTTTTAATCCTTAGTTATATTTTCCATTTTTCGAGCTTATTTCAGCAAGTTTTTTGTGAAATAATATATCTTTCTAAAACTGATTATAAGAATGATTATTAGTATTTTTAGTTAAGTGTTTGTCGGCAATTGATTTTCCATCAAAATGAACAGAAAATGCTTTAAGACAAGCTTTATATCGAGCTTTTGTGGAATTATTATTTATTGTTTGCAATCAAGATGAATACTCGTCAATGGATACCCAATCTTTACGAAAAACTTCTTTTTTTCTTTACTCAAGATGATGTTGCTGATGATGATGAATTTACTTCGATTTGTTTCTCTTCAGAATCAACTCCAGCCATGTTAACATCCTCTATTCAATAGTTTAGCTTTTGTCTGTATAATGTTTAGTCAGATAAGACTGTCGAAATAAAAACATTATAAAGTTCTAGTGCATTTCTGTAGCTGAACTTGTCTATATGAGTCAGAAATTACCGACGGATCATTGACAAAAAGTGGCGCAATATTTATCTATAATGGTAATGTATTATAACTTTCCTGAACTGTAATAGCAAAGTTGAGATCTGAATTAGTGTCGAATTCGGGAAAGTTCAGAAGGAAACACTACGATCAGAAGAAATCAGATAATGGTACGAAAATCAGAAAAAATCAGAAGAGCAGAAGAAGTTCAGAAAGAACTTCAAATTTCAGAAAGTTTCCTTACTTTTCAGAAAATCTGACCACCCTGATTATTGACCTATTTTAATGTACGTCTCGGAAGACCGAATAACGGAACTTTGATTCAAAACTTAGCATATAGATAGATCTAATGACACTTAGAATATCCAGAAAGTTTCAGCCAAGAAGAACGTTCCTTCATCAATATATTGAAGTTTCGAAAATAGTCTTGTGTCACAAAAATCGAATTCACTTGAAAATTCAAATCTCGGACGAAGAGGATAAATATATCACTAAGTGTAGAATCAGAACCGAAAATTTTTTCTGACCAACCTCGACACCATAACCGAAAACAGTTTGTTAAACAAATGGTCTATGAACTAGAATTTTGAATGATGATGACATAATTCTACTAATGTCTACTCAACAATTACATAGGGATGTGTGTACGTTTAATAACTCAACAACGACATGAACTAGTAACTCACCATTTTCAGCAGTCGAAAGAGGAGAATTCTTGACGACTTCTTATTTTAAAACCCATCATATTCACAAAACATTGCATGAAAAAAGTACTCCATATCGATGCTTCAAATACAGCTATGTCAGATTTATAGTTCAGAGACATGAATCATATGATTAACTCATCATATCTCAGTATCGTGCAAACAAAATTATATATATATTCAGCCAAATTATATGGGATTCTATTAATTTCTATCACATTCCTTTGAAATGGAACGACCTTTTTCTGTAATGTTATGTGAAGATAATCAATTTTACAATAAAAATAAGTCTTTCCATGTTTATGTCTACTTTCTTATCCATTCGTGAATATCTTACCAAGTGAGTGAAACAAGTATTAAAGCCACAGGTAATTCCCATTCAATATGAAATCCAGCTAAAATCGTTTTTAAATTTTGATCGATTGAACTCATATTACTTGCAGGTGTTGTGAATAAAATATTTTCATTATTTCCACTAATACCTGAACCTAATAAATCAACATTACCACCCATCAAATCATCTTGACGTTTATATCGATTTAATAGAGGTATAGAATATGTACTTGTTGGTAAAAATAATGATGATATTGTTGTTTGAATTATAACTGGTCCATCGTCTTTTAAAAATTTCGATGCTAATGCAATTCCAACACATGAACATTGCATAGCGAATGCAAAAAAATCCATTAGAAATAAAAGACTTCGTTGAACAATCGATGAATTTGATTTTGTCAAAAATAATTTTAAAAAAGCAGGTACAAGACATACAGCATTCATTATTAATAAACTTCTTGCTGCATCTAACTTTGGTAATATATGAAAAACAAATATTGCTATACCAAAACTATGAAGAGTTTCGATGAAAAAAACCTATTGATAATTTATAATAATAAAACGTGATAAAATAAAATAATAAGAATAATAAAAAAACATACGATAGTAAAAATCTTCACTGTTGGCCATGGTTTATTACCAAATAAACATTTACCAAGACTGTCGAAAAATGTAAATAAATATGGAGCACATACTGCTATCAATAACATCCATACCCAACGTTCTTGATAAGGTGTCTGCAAAATAATGATGAATACATTGATTATATGAATATAAAATGGTGAAGAAATTTAAAAAAATGTAATTTTTTTCTATTATTCCAGTGGCGGATTTAGGGGGGCGCTTGGGGCGATCGCCCCCATTCGAAAAAAAAATTTTCGATTTTTCCCAGCAGAAAAGACTTAAAAATAGAGTGCATACTACTCCTAATGAACTTCAAAACTCGATTTTTGGTCAAAATCGCCCCATATCTATCAAATCGCCCCTTATCAAAAAAATCCTAGATCCGCCGCTGTTTTATTCTAAACAGTTAACTTGAATCCAAATAGTGATTTTAATAGCCAATGGAGTCTTTTATTTAATGCATTCTATACTAAGATTTCATAGATGAAATATGATAGCACGATTTCTAAAAAATCGTACACAATAGTTTTCAGGTCTTAGAAGACTTTGCTGTAGTTGTTGACTTAAAAGTGCCAGAACAAATCGTAAAAAAAAGGAACTTTTCAAAAAATTATCAACAAAAATACTTTGTTCGGAGTTTTTTGATCTTTTTCACTTTTTAAGGAAAGGTCATAGATAATGTGGCAACCCCTTACTTTGTACTCTTTAAAATGATATTGTTGAAAAATAGATCCAATACAACCTTATGGGATCTGAAATCTTGCAATTGTAGTTCATCTATGAAAACTTCATTGTCTATTAAAATCACTACCCGGATTTTAGCTCAATGCTTCACATTATTAAAGAAAAATGTATCGGTGTTAAACTTTTTCTCACCGTTTTCTATAGTGTTTATTCCAATGAAAAGTTCTTTTAAAGCGAATATTTCCACATCTGAAATCTCATACATAAATATTCCTAAGTGATTGATTCCATTCGTCTTCATATTTCTATTAGACTATTTCATGTATAAAGTATCATCAATGTCAGTGGTAACAGTACTAACGAGGAAACATCTCCAAATGACAAATAGCGTTTTGACTGAAACAATTTTTGTATGATGACTATTAGTAAGTAATAGAAAAGGTTAGAATAGTGTGATTTATCCAGGTATTTATTCTTGACATATCAAAATTTTACTGGATTTTTCAATAGAATACGGCAGTCAGTCTTAATTCACGTGGAAAATGGACTCTCGAAATTCGGCTTTCAACATTGCTCGAACAAAGCTCTCAATGAGGTTAGTTCATTGGACAAGTTGTAGCTTTTCTAGTATTTCTTATATTGAAATGTTAAATATTCAAATATCTCTCATTTGTCAAAGGCGAACAGAGCGGATCACTTCTGTGTATTCCTTTGTTAGCTTGTCAATTTAATTATCAAGAGAAAGCATGATCTTGAGAATAAAATTTATTCTTCTAGGTTTCTTATTGACCTTACCTCTTGAACTTTAGCAACTGAATTCGTCATAAGTAATAAGGCTCCTTTACTAACAAGTGCCGTTATTAATATACCAATATTAAGTACAACATATGTAGCAATTTTTAACATACGCATTGATAAACGGTAACAATGAACTGTTTTTTCATATGCTTCTGGAACATTCATTTCTCTAGCTGCATCCCAACAATCTAAACTATCACTAAATACAAAGACAAAAATTTAAATATTTTATACTTTAATACAAATAAAAAAGAAAATAAATTTACTCGTCAAACAATGGTTTGTCATCATCATGTTTTGATGTTTGATTTCCATTCGAAAAACTATATATGGAATTTTCAAATTCATTAGTTTTACGTGCTTTTCGTGCTTGATTATCTTTAAATTTTTGCCTTTGTAACATAAGAATTTTTCTAACCATTGAACGTTTTTGTTCGGATAAAACATTTTCATCATGTAAATCACTTAAAAGATTTCTTGGTTCGGATTTAGAACGTGCAGTTTTGATATGTTGTTTTTCTTCTTGTCCAATGGCCCAATCTAAATAATTCAAAAAAAAAAAGAAACTTTTACTTTCTTTTTCGTAATCATCAAAATTTTCTACCAGTCATAAATAAATCTCCACTTGCTGCAGCAACTTTTGTTTGTCTAATTAATTGTTCAGCTGTTGGTAAACTTATTCCGGGTGCAATAGGTATATTAGCAGCCATAGAAGCAATAGCACCATCATGAACTTTTAATGGACCTGCTGACATTAATGTTGTTGTATGTGGTAATCCTGCACCTGATCGTATATTTGTTTCAATGGGTAAATTTTTCTGTTGACCTTGTTTACTAACCATTGGTGTAAATTCATCTTGAACAAGAATACGAGTTTCACGTTCAGATAAACCTTCTAAAGATGATTTAAATTCATCGGGTGTTCTCATTTGAAGTGATGGATGTGTTGGAGAAGTTATTCCATGTTCAATACCATTTAAGTCATCGATTTCATCATTATTAAGTAATTGTAACTTCTATAAAAATTATTATTTTAAAAAAATTTAAATTAATAGGTTTTTGAAAATTCAATAAATATTACTTTTGCTACTTTTAACATATCAGCATGTTCTTGTTCATTCATTGATACAGGTTCTTCAGATGAAATTTTCTTTTTATCTTTTGATTTTTTCTTAATAAAATGACCCAAACGTGGTCCTCCTTTACCTTCCATTTTTACTGTTAACTGTTTTATATTTTTTGGCGAAACCTAAATAATTTCATATTATTTTTTTAAACAAATAGGTGGCTTATAATAAATCGAACAAAACGTTTTCCTCTTTGTTTTTGTTGGTGCAGATATTAAAAGATGAGTATCTACTCAACTGTCGAACTGTAATAGTCAAATAAATAAAGAAAAAAAATTTTCATAAATTGTTTCACTAATGTTTCAAATATCCTACAAAATTTTCTATATTTTGATATGTTTCAGGATTTTAAAAGAAACACAAGAGAAAAGTCTCTCCTAGCAGAACTACATCATTGTTCTTTTCTTAATATTTCTACTGTTCAACAGAATCCTGCAGGGTAGAACAAAATTACGAAAAAGTCTTGCCCCGTAGCACTCTGCTCTACACTTTAACAATCTTAACATTTTGTTAAGCATTAAATTCTACAGTCGACGAGTGAAGAACAAATGTATGCAGTATTTTATCCAATGTAAGGTCAGGTTGACCCTCCTAAATTTTTAAATCACCATTTCGAAAGAGAAAACCTGCATAAAACATTGAAAGTATGATAGACTAAGTCTTACTTTAGAAATTATGGTTTTCTTCAAGGCATCTCGAAATACTACTAAGAGTTTATTCAAAGTGTTTTTTCTTTTGAGCAGCACTAGCAAAAACTTTGATAAGGTCATGAAACTAGAGACTACGAAAATTTCTATCTATTGATGCAAAAAAATTTCATTTTAGCATCGGTCTTGAAAAGCAAAAGCTTACAAAAAAAACCGAAAATCGCAGTTAGACGATTGAGTAAATCCTCATTCTTCTAAATTTTTTGCTGACAAAAAAACCACAATAGCTTTGTAGAGTAGTAAATTCTCTATTGAAGTCTCTCATGGGTTGTGAAGTGCCCTAAAAAGAGGGTAACGTTTTATCTCGTTATTTATGCATCAGTCATTAAACGAAAAAATATTTACTTTAGGTAATGATACAAGTTTTTCTAATGTTCGTTTTCCACTTGAATTTACTTGTGTTAATAAAGTATGACGTTCATTAGCATAATGTTTAGCTCGACGTAAAAGACTTCTTCGTACAAGAAACCCTTTAACTACTCTTTGACATTTAAGTACATTAGATATATACTGTTCATAACGTTGATTTAATTTTTCTAAATGTTCGAATTTTAAGAAAACCTTAAAATAGAAAATTTTTAAGATATTAAATAGAAAAAGAATTTGTTTTTTTTCTACTTTCGATTTTCCAATAACATAATCAGTTAATGATAAATCTTTGAGAATTTTTTCGCATGTTATTGCATTAACTCTTATTGGACTACTTTGAGGATAGGAGATAAATTTATATCTAATTGATTACAACAAATAAAAAAAAACATAGAACAAAAGTTTTTGTTTTAGAAAATAAAATAGCACAAACCGATAAAAAAATTCTTCAAATATAAAACGAACTGGCCAACCTTGATTTCGTATATAAGATATTTCAAGTATACCGTTATAACGTAATTGTTCTTGAACTAATTCTTCATCAAATTGATTAGCTACTTTACCGTGATTCGGTTTAATACATCTATGAAGAAGCATTTAAACACAATATTTTATCAAAATAAATTTCATCTTTATGAGAGTTTCTCTAGAGAAGCGATGATTTCAAACTCTAGAAGAGCGAACATTCATTTTTCAAAGCATCGACACATAGTATAATAATCGCAAACTTCGGAAGAGTCAAACTAATTTTCAGAAGTACGCCATCTGAATGGTCCCTTCACTGAACAAAACACTTCTCTTACAACTATGCTTCCTATTCTAATGAGGAACGCATTTTCGAGTATACCAAAGATCTATAGTGATGAAGAATGTTGTGCATTATTGAAATGCTTATCGACTAAAATAACATAGCAGTTGCAAAATGCTAATCATCGTCGATATTCCTACAGTTTCTTGTCGAAATGTCCAATAGATAAAGAGACAATTTCGACTCAAAAACGATTTTATCAATTGAAGGGCTTCGCACATCAGCAATGAAAATATATATTACCATGTTTTATGCTATATTCGAGGTACGTGTTCATTCTTTTGAACATCATACTTTCGAAGTAAATGATGACTTAAATATTGCAATAAGAAGTATATTTATGCTTCCTAGAATGAAATTTTTTCCATAATAAAAACAAAATATTTACACGATAAATTTAAGATATAACCACTATTTTTTTTTTTTGTCTACCTCGAAATTGTAGATATTTCATCTGATGTTATATTTTCATTTTGTTGTATAGTATTTTTCCAAATAATCGTATTTTGTCCATTGATATCATCATTATCTGTTATTAATTCATCGGTTGGTATATGAAAATCGATAGAAACAGTTAAACTTTCACATGAATCAGGAAAAGTATGTTCAATGTGTTGTGAAATTGAATCTTTTGATACATGTTGATTATTATCATATGTGATAGGTTTATTTGTATCATTATGAAAAGGACGTTGAGGTGATAAAAGAAGCCAATGACCATGTCGATCAAGTCGACAATAATCAGTTTGTTCATTATCAAAACTATATGATTTTGGTATAATCTTATAATCATTAATTGTTTGCCAACTATTCGTATTTTTTTCATTTGATAATGATAATATTTCAAGATTTTGATCATCAAATATACATGTTGATGTTACATCGGATAAATCTTGCCATGCATCATTTAAACATTTTTGATCAATATAAATTTTATCAAGTTTTTTCAAATTAGATTTCGTTGAAAAAGTATTCAAATCTGACATTAGACATACGATTAGAAACGAATCGAACAAAATACAATATATCAATAAAATTTGATATAGTTAGTCCGTTACTCAACACTTAAGACTAATCAATAGATAAACATAAAAAAATAAATTACTATACCTTACTCTTCTCGCTCTTTAGTGAAACAAACAAACAAACGTTCGTTTGAAGAGAAGAAATCAACTAAAAAATAAGCACGCAATGCGGATAAAAAAAAACAAAAAGAAAAGACACAAACGAAATAAACCTTTCGCCGGTCAATAATCATGTAAATTAATCACTCAAATAATGAATAATAAAAATTCGAAATTAAAAAAAAAAATATCTTTAAACTTTTTCCTATATTATAATTTTACATACTCGAATAAAAACGTTCTTCAATCAAATAGATTCAATAAATATAAACTAAAGATTGAATGATAAATCTATCCTTTGTTATTCTATACAATACACAAATGAATACGTCTACCTTCATGTAAACTTCACACATAGATTTCTTTATTAGTTTTTCATTGTCGATGTATACAATACATTTAAACAATTTGTATCATTGTCACGAACGCGAAGGTAACAAGAGAACAAATACAATAGAATTTAAGAGAATGTTGAATAATCTAACCGACTATGTGTAGCACTGGTAGAAAGAGAAAAGAAAAAAAATACATCCTCTTCTACTACCACCCATATTCAAATGATATTTACATAGTGATCTACATACCTGACAAAAGATGGTTCAGCATCTTTCATTTTATCGAGTAATTCAGCAAGAGAATTCTACGAAAGAAATATTTCTAAATGATGTTCAAGTTTTTAGAAATATTTACTTTAAAATGAACAGCAACTGTATGTTGACTAAAACGTTCTTTTTGAATTGTATTAGTTTTATATGGTCGTCTAAAATTAATTATCATAGAAAAAGAAAATAATTTTGATGAAAAAAAAAAAAAAGAAAAGATGATCAACATACGATTCTTGTCGAAGAGATTTAGCAGCTTTTTGACTCAAATTTTCTTTTGTATATTCAGTGTCAAAAGATTTTGGACGACGTGTTGGATGAAATGAAGTTGTTTTAGGTTTATTTATCATTCCAAATGGTGACCTTAAAATAATCAAAATTACACAAAGATGATATGAAATATTTCATCTGATCATAAGTTTTTTCTTTGTACATAACAATAATAGTTTTGCATTGGATTAGACTCTGAATCAACATACGCTAACAAATTTCTAACGAGATAAGGTCCCTAGATATGACTTATCAATTGAATTAATACTTTGTTCGTAAGTAACCTCTGACAAGACTAGTAGAAACATACAAGAGTTTGTCTTCATGCGCTATTCGTCCCAAGTTATTGCAGTTGTACTGAATTTTTAATCTTTGACAAGATATTTGTCAAAAAAACGAATGAAGAAATTCGGACTGAAAATCTTGGTCACAGGTAAGTCTCGTAGATATTTAGAATGTCCTGAAAGTTTCAGCGCATAGAGATATATTCTTCTGGAAATATTGAATATTCAAACGTAGTCATGTGTCACAAGAATAGTTAAGACAATTCAGTCTTTTTCAACATTTAGTGTCTTAAGTATAGCATATTCTTTTGGACTGAAATTTTCAGGATATTCTAATGTTCTACAAGATACCTATGAACGATGGTTCAGATGGAAACTCTGAAATTTGATATTTTCACAAATACATTGTCAGAGATTAAAACAAAACTCATAGAGTTCCACTAGTCTATTTGGAACTGAATGATGGACAAAATATGATTTCGATTAGCAAGTCACAGTTAGAAACTTTTCCTCGTAAGTTTTACATATGTCAAGTTTTTTGTAAAAATATTTTTTGTAAGATTTAATCAATGAGAGCATATAAAGAGGATAAAATTTACTATACGAAGTCAGTTTCTAATTGAAAAGAATTTATTGATCGAAAAACAGTTTGCAACAATTCGAAAGAAAACAAAATATACAGGTCAGAGATTTCAGCAGGTTTCTATCGGAAAACTCGAGAAAATGGTAAACATTCGAAAGAAGAAATTCGATGATTGGATTTTTCTAGTTCCAGTTGTAATCGATCAGATCTAATCACCAAATTACGGTTTCCAAGTGTCTAACATTTTTTCGAGTTTTCCGGCCTTCTATTTCTTAACTTGAGAGTTAGTATCGAATACATTTAAAATCAGTTTTCTGAAAGAGAATCAAATATTATGAACAAATCTTGACAAAATTCTTTCATCTTCTTGTATTACTGATAAATTTAATACTCAAAATACTCGAGCAAGATTTATCTATTTGAACATACACAAGAAGAATGTCAATCGAAGTCAAGGGTAAAAGTCATAAAATTTTTAGCATAGTTTATTGTCATCACCGATTAGATTATCGATTTGAGATATTGCCACAATGATTTTGAACGACTTCCTCAATTTACAGTTCGTCAAGAGCCAAAAAAAGTTTTTGAGACCATAAAGTTGCTATACAGATGTACTCTTGAGTAAAAATAATATAACTAGTTTGAGATAACAATTATCAAATTGAATATCATTTATAGAAATTTGATCCAAAAATAAAGATATGTCTCAAATACAAAAATCAAGGTTTTGGTCTCAAAATATATTCTAGGCTGATTGCACTCTTAAACTGTGTTGAATAATTTTGAAATTATGATTTCTGTTCATAAATGAGAAACTACGATTATATTAAAATTTTCATTAGTTAGTAGTTATTTTTAATTTACATATATATTGAACTCAGATGTTTTTAATATGTTCTTTACTAATAAAATGGGATAAAGTAATCATGATGACAGATATTTGGATTTGCCTTATTTTTCAATGATTAGCTTGAGCTTAAAAGAGTCTTAAGTAATTATTTTACTGTAAAAAAGAAAAGTACAGAGATGCATAACTTCATCAACGATGTAATGTGAACTTTTCTATAGTCAATGATTTTTAGGTACAAAACTGATTAAAATTCTTCACATTCTCATTACAAAAAAAAATCAAAGGTCCGTATGTAACATGCTCAAATCTATAAATCCCTGCATCGTCCATAGATATCCAATGTGGCATAAGAAATACAGGTGCTACTCCGCGACGGACATCTCTGACATCCTGTAGGATTCATTTCCAACTTAAAATCACAAGAATTGTGAAATAGAAATAAAAGTTTAATATCTAGGAAAATAGCGCGACTCCTATGGGTGTAAACTGTGAACCATAATGTAGCGACTGTTGCTAAATGATGGGAGACTGTTTTATTCTACCTATTTCAGGGCACATTTCTTTACCATCCATTTACTTAATCTTCTAGAAATGTCATAAGCAAACAATTCACATTTTATAATAAGACATTATTGATCTATGGTCTTTGATCGTATGTCAACAATGTTTGTCATGATCTATAGGAGAAGCGAGGTGCAAATATCCACACTCTTTTTTAGATTATGTTTCCAAAAGAAAAGAAAATCACTTTTACTATTTGCCTTTACATTGATTAAGTATGTAAGAAAGATTTAACTTACATAGACGATAGAGCAGTATCTGATATGATAGTTGAATCATCATTAATAGTAAATAAATAACCAATTAATTCAATTCCACTTTTTTCCATACATTCAATTAAATTTGCACTAAGATTATCTCGATTTTTTTCTAAAAATCCACGAGCATCATAGACAACCTAAATTAAAGAAATAAATATTGAACAAACAAATATATATGAAATTTAATAATTCTTATTTAATACTTTTCCAGCATAATGATGAATTCCAAAAGCTGTTTCATTGCCTCTTGGTCTTATATATCTTGGATGATTTTTACAATGACTATGAAATTTTTGTACTAATGATTCATCACTTGCTTTTGGAAAACGAGTTTCTTCATCAAGTAATGCAAATATACCTAAATTCTATAAAGAATTTTATTTTTAAAACTAAAAAACCAAAAGAAATTTTAAACATACTCCCATAAATAATTCAATTAAATCTTCATTATTTTGAAATTCAACTTTTTCCCATGATACACCTTCTGTTCCATAATCTTGTTCTTCTTGTAAAAAAATATGTTCATTAAAATAATACTGTAGATGTTCATTTGCAACATTGATACATAATTGTTCAAAACTATTAACTTGAAAATTTTCAAAACCTGACATATCCAAGATTGAACATGTACGATAAATATTATTATCTGTATGATTATGTCTACTTCATAGTAAAAATTTTTTTTTTTAATTTGTATTTTTAAGAAAATAATATTACCGTCGATTTGGTTGTAAAAGTGTATTTGTTTGTTTAACAATCCATGAAAATAAACGTTCATATAAAGCTTTAGCAAGAGCATCACGACAATCATTGGCTTGATCAAAATTTTTTAAACTTATAACACGTTCACCTAAAAGTATGAGTTTTTTTTTAATAAATGAAATTTTATGTTAATCTTAGTGATATACCTTTAGTTATACTAAATGTTGAAATAAGAGCCATGGTAAGAATTTCTTGATCAAGTGCAAGTAAAGTGCAAACTATAGAGAAAAAAACCAATTATCAAATCCATCCAAATCGATTTATGGTGAAAATATTGAAATTTAATAATCAGTATGTCTTTCAATCTCAAAATTCTATACAAAAGTTGTGTCTAAGTTCTTAGTGAAATGTAAATTATTCCTGACTCGCTTTGATTTTTATTCTCTTTCAATCTAATCTTGTTAATAGAACTTCATTTTTATTATTCCACTGAAATTTAAGACATATTCAAGATTTTCATAAATTAGTATTTATTCAAACATATTTATAGAAATAAATTATGCATGAAAAAATCTTCCTATTTGAACCTCTAATCCTCACTATCATATATTCAAAAATGAAAATTCATTCACGACATTATATGTAAGCGTATATCAAGACCAAGGTAGGTTCTACAGTTTTGGATTCGACGAGCTATGCCTACGAGACTTTCATCTTGAGTTACTCAGCTTGGTTTTATCTAGTTGTGCA